TATGTACATATCGTACATTGCCACACCAGTAGTGTATATAATATATATAGTTGTTAAGTGCCATCGAGTCAGTTCTGCCTCATAGCAACCATTTTCAGAGGAGCAGCTGGTGTGGTACTGTAGGATAATGCACTTGACTGCAAGATCGGCAGTTCAAACCCACAAGCTGCATATATTCGAGGGTAAATAAAAAAACTGCCAGCACTTTGGTTATATTAAAACGCCCATCCACATCCATGGGTGATGACAACATTGAGCATTCACATGAAATGATTCTGTCAAATTGATGAGTGACAGTGGATATTGTGGCATATCATTTGCAAATCAGCCACAGCTCTGCCTGTGAAATAATCCAGGACAGACTTGGGTTTTGGAAAGTTTGTATGAGATGGGTACTGAAACATCTCATGGAAGAACATAAACAGGAATGTTTGGACATCTGCAAACAAAATCTGGACTAATATTCAAAAGAATATATAAATTTCATTTAAAAAATCGTTAATGGAGATGAGACATTGGATTCGTCATTATGAGCCTGAGAGTAAAAGGCAGTGTGTGGAATAGAAACATCCTCAATTGCCAACCAAGAAAAAGTTCAAAAGTCAACTATCAGCTGGAAAATTGATGCTTAGAGTTTTCTGGAATTTTCAAAGGCCAGTATTGGAACACTATCTGGAAAATTGCCTAACAATCAACAGTGCTTATTTCCGTGAAATGCTCACTGAAGAGCTGAAGCCTAAACTTCAGATTAAACCGCAGAGGACTGCTGTCCAAGGGCATTGTGATCTTGGGTGACACCTCAGCCCACACTGTTGACACTGCAAGAATTTCATTTTGAGGTGTTAACGCATCCCGCCTATAGGCCTGATCTGACTTCATCAAACTTGCACCTGTTTGGTCCCCAGAAATCAGCCCTTCGAGGGTGGAGATTCACCTTGGATAAAGAAGTGAAGACCGTGGTGCCTTTGTCACTTGCAGCTTAGCCTAAAACATTTTTTAATAAGGGAATATGAAAACTTGTTGACAGATGGACAAAATTTATTGAAAAGCAAGGAGATTGTGTTGAAAAATGACGCATTTGTCTTTTCTCAAAGTTGATTAAAATAAATTCTGCAACCAGCATGCAGATGATTTTTTACTCATTTGTGTGTGTGTGTGTACTACTGGTGTGGCGCTGTAGAATCAGCACTGGACTTCAAACCACAAGAGTCAGTAGTTCAAACCCACCAACTGCTCCTCGGAAACCTTATACAGAGTCACTATGAGTCATAACTAATTTGACGGCACTTAACAACAGCATGTGTGTGTGTGTGTGTATTCCACTCTTTTCCCATACCCATTACCACACATTTTCAATAAACGTATTTCATAGATGTGTTCTCAAGAGAAAGAGATGCTAATTTACTGGAACTCAGCCCCCTCTCCTCACCAATACACACACTTGGATTTAAGTTTGTTTCACAGTTCTGAGGATGATAACAGTACTAAACCTACAAGCAGATGTATATAGTAACCTAACAGGAAATTAGTCTGCTAATAAGTAGAAAGTTATTTATTATCAGGTGTATTTACTGACAGAAAAACTAAATATATATGGTCTGTTATAGCAGAAAATAGGTTTCTCCTAGTTAGGGTGATTTATTTAGAACAAAGTCCATTTGTGAGGCAAGCAGAGCTGAAGGCTAAAAAAGACAGTTGCCATTTGCACTTTATTCAGAACTCTGAGCAAAGAGCAAGAACATTGCCAGCAGCATTTTTTTTTTTTTTTTTTACTGTAATCCAGCTCATGAGCACAAATCTATTGATAAAGTTGACTAGCAACACACTCCTGATAGTAAAGAGTAGTAATCTTTAAAGATGTAAACACGATTTTTGTGATTAGCAAAAAGTATCCTTAATCTCCCTTAGTCCTGAAAATAAAGGATAGATGGAAGAACCCGTGAAAAATTTCCAGATGTGAAAAGTAATACAAACAAAAAAACAATTCATAAGCAGTGCAGCCAAAAACACACTGCAAGCTTATAATTTTCCTTCTAATTATAAAGTTTGAAGAGAAAGAAAGGTACTTAAGTTGAAGTGAGTACTAAGAGTGTCTAATTGGTGATCTGTGGTTTCTAAAGAACTGATAGCCCCAGTTCTCTTTCTTTGCTTATGAGCTGGACCATGAAGTCATCCTTGGTTATCTCCTATTTAAGGTGAGTTGATAGTTGTTGATTTTTTATACAATAACTGTAAATGAAGTACTAGATACATTATTGATATTAAATACTTTGACTTCTTGTATATATTTTTTGTTATAAGATGGTTTAAGTTAGTATACGGGGGCAGGAAATGTTGCCTAGAATTTTAATAACCTAAAGCCATTTTATACACGTATGCCTCATCAGATTATTATTGTCTCTTATGTTTTTCTCTAGTTGCAGATATGATAATATTAGCATTTAGGAAAATTAATATAATTGCATGTGCTATAAATTAAAAATGAAACGTTCACATAGTTCAGCATTCTCTTGACAATATGCTAGAAATCTTACTGGTTTATAACCTTTTAAAATAAAAGGACAAAGCGGCACTTATTGTTATTGCTGTTGGTAGGTGTCATTGAATTGGTTTCACTCATAGCAGAATCCTTTGCACAGCGAAACACTGCTAGATTCTGAGCCATCCTCACAATTTTTATGTTTGAGCCCATGGCTGTTGCCAATGTGTCATTGCTTCTTGTTGCAGGTCTTCCTCCTTTTCACTGACCCTCCTCTTAAGCAGTCATGATATACTTCTACAGGGATAGTCTCTCCTGATAGTAAGTCCAAAATAATAGAAAGTCTCACCATCCTGGCTTAGCAGTAGTTTTCAAACTATACTTCTTCCAACACCAGATTTGTTTGTCATTTTAGCAGTCCAGAATACTTTAAATATTTATTCTCCAACACCATAATTCAAATGCATTGATCCTTCTGCCATCTTCCTTATTTATCATCCAACTTTCCCCTGCATATGAGGCAATTGAAAATACCATAGTCTTCAAACTGATCTCTCTGCTGTTGAACACTTTTAAAAGTGTTTTGCAGTAGTTTTGCCTAATGCAGTGCATTGTTTGAGATGTTGACTGCTGTTTCCACAAGCATTGATTGTGGATCCAAGCAAAATGAAGTATAACAATTTTAATCTTTTCTCCACTTATCATGATAACTACTTATTGGTCCATTGGTGAGAATCTTTGTTTTACTTACATTCAAGTGTAATCCATTCTGAAGGCTGATCTTCATTAGTATTTTAAGTCCTCTTTGATTCCAGCAAGCAAGGTTATATCATCTGCATATTGAGTCTTCCTCCAATCCTAATGCATGTTCTTCTTATAATCCAGCTGCTTGGATTATTTGCTCAGATTAAAACTTTGTTGTGTCCCCTTGTTCAAACAGCTGACTCTTGGTCTATATACAGGTTCCTCAAGAACACAGTTAATTCATTCTTCACAATGTTGTCCATAGTTTGTCATGATTCACACAGTATATCATAGTAAATCGTACGTAAATTTCTTTTTGATATTCTCTGCTTTCAGCCAAGATCCATATGACAACAGCAATATCCTTAGTTCCACATCCTCATGTGAGTCTGACTTTAATTTCTGGCGGTTCCCTGTTGATGTCCTCTTGCAACCACTTTTCAGTTATCTTCAGAATTGTAATATCATGTGGCATTAGTGATATTGTTCAATGATTTCTGCATTCTGTTAGGTCATCTCTCTTTGGAATGGGTACAAATATGGATCTCTTCCAATTAGTTGGCTAGGTAGCTAGCTGTCTTACAAGTGTGTTGTCATAGATGAGTGAGCGCCTCCAGTGATGAATAAATTTGCTGAAATATTTTGGTTTCTATTTCATCAATTCCTGGAGGCTAGATTTTCACCAATGCATTCAGTGCAACTTGGACTTCATCCTTCAGTATCATTGGTTCTTGATCATATTGTTATTGTTGTTATGTGCCGTGGAGTCGGTTCCGACACATAGCGACCCTGTACAGGGTTTCTGACGCAGTAAATCTTTATGGGAGCAGAAAGCCTTATCTTTTTCCCGTGGAAGAGCTGGTAGTTTCAAACTGCTGACCGTGAGATTAGCAGCCCAATTCGTAACCACTACGCTACCAGAGCTCCTTATTTACTACCTCTTAAAATGGTGGAGTATCAACCATATTTTTTGGTTCAGTGACTGTATATTCCTTCCATCTTCTTTTGTTTCTGCATCATTCAATATTTTGCCCATAGGATCCTTCAGTATGGCGAGTTGAGGCTTGAATTTTTTCTTCAGTTCTTTCAGCTTAAGAAATGCCGAGCATGTTCTTGCTTTTTGGCTTTTTAATTCCAGATCTTTGCACATTCCATTCTAATACTTTATTTTGTCTTCTTGAGCTGCCCTTTGAAATTTTCTGTTCAGCTCATTTCCTCCTCACTTTTCCCATTTGTTTTAGTGACGCTATGTTCAAGAGCAAGTTTCAGAGTCTCTTCTGACATGAATTTTTGTCTTTTCTTTCTTTCCTGTCTTCTTAGTGACCTTTTGCTTTCTTCCTATATGATGATCTTGATGTTATCCCATGACTCTTTGGTCTTTGGTCATTAGTGTCTAATGCATCAAATCTGTTCTTGAGATGATCTCTAAACTCACATGGGTTATTTTCAAGGTTATATTTTGGCTCTCGTGGTTAAACATTAAGAAATAGTCCACCTTCTTCCTAGTCTGTCTTCTTCATCCAGAAGTGCCACTGAAATCTGTCCATCCTGGATAACCCTGCTGGGTAATGTACCTTCCAGCATCACCACAGCGTACAAGCCACCACAGTCTGTGAAAGACTGACAGCTGTGTCGTGGGTGCTTGTTTTTGTTTACCATCTACTTTGTCCCAGCACTTGGCAAGCTTATGTTTAACAAAATGAAATGTTAGCCAGTCTTCAACTTTGATTGCTGGTATTATGATAAGATAGCCAAGTCCTTTTATATCTTTGAACAGGGAACTCTTCTTACAGTGAAACAGGAGAAAAGAAAAATGCAACAATGAAGATTAATAAGGTTAGTTGAAATAAAAGTTATTTTTCTTAGATAATAACACTTTATGATTATTTTGTATATATCCAGTGCCTCCTGTATATAAAATATGACTATTACATAATTACCATGAAGGTTTTATTATTTCAAAAACCACTTTTTACTTTTCTAGCCTCGAAGATCAAACTGTACAAATCAGTACTTCAGAAACTTTTTCTCCAATATATTTTCTTCTAGTAGTCACACTGGAGGATCTACTTATACCCATAGAGCATACTGGTTAGTGTTCTCTACTTTTAATTTATAATGTTTGTATATGCTGTTTTAATCATTACAATTAACTTTTGATAGGAATTTAGAAACTCTGAGTTCCAACAAAAAATTATGACTGCCTAGGCCAGTGGGCATTATTTTTGTAATAAGTAAGGTAACAAGTTTTCCATGTGATAGAAAAGTGGTCTACTTGTTAAATTGTGGGATCACTACCTAAAAAAGCAGAATCCTTTTAAAACAGATCATAGTCCATATGATGACACTAAGTAGAGGGTTATGGAATTAGATAAGTTGGGGCTTTACAGTCATATACAGTTGGTTTAACTACTGTAAACAGTAACATTGTACAATTTAATGTTAGAGTTTAGCAAAATAACATAGAAACAAATACTTCTTAATCCTTTGAAAAGCTGAACTATGCCTTTTGTTTGTTTGTTCCAGTAACCACACCCTCCTTTTATTATTTATTTATTTATCTTATATGCTTGATTTCAGATGGGAAACAATTGCACCTAAATTTTCTTCCAGTGAATTATTGTTGCAGCTTTGGCACATTTGAAATTTTACTTGCTAACTTCAATTATGAGTTCATTTTGCAAATTTAAATAGAAAAAAAGTTTTAATTCTTTCAAATGGGATTAATAATGCTAGTTATGAACACCCAGTTATCTTTTTTGTATAATACAATTTTTCCTGTGAACTTGGATTTTTTAAAATTCTGACAAAGGTCTAAAATTTATCTTTTAGTACAGAATTTATAGACGTGAATGAAATGAGTGCAGTGATTAGGCAGAAAAGACAGGAACTGGACTTTGCATGGTTTCGTGATACGTTACCTGGAATTGAAAGGTAAAATATTTTTTATTGTCTACTGACGTGTTTACATGCTAACAGGAATGTATTAGTCCACAGATATGTTCCCAAGAAAATCCTGTATAAATTAAGACTTGTGTTTCAAATGTCTAATAAAGGTTGATTTCTGTTTAAAGGACCCTTGATAAATAATCCCTAATTTTTCTGTATAATAAATGTAGATATTTATGTGCTAAACTCACTTAAGAGGGAGAACCCCGGAATAGTAAGGTTCCTTACACTCTCTTTTTACTTATTGGCGATCTCATTGTCCAACATTTCACATTTAGAACAATATTAAAAAAGAATACTGTCAATTTTTTTTGCATTAACAACATATATGTGGCAGTAATGGACCCCGAGTTATGAGGTGAGGGTGGTACTGGCCTTGATGGTTAAGATTATTTGTCTGCTTGCCTGGGTCATCATTCTCACTGCTTTGACAGTTATGAATGATATATTCATTTTCCATTTTGTGATCAGATGTGATCATCCTCCATTTTCTGTCTTATTCATTATCCTGCTTTCACATGTACATGAGATCATTAAAAATATAATTTGGGTCAGGCTCATCGTACTCCTCAAGGTGATGCCATTGCTTTTAACATAAAGAGGTTTTATGCAGCAGATTTGCAGAATGCAATATGTTGATTTCTTGAGTACTGCTTTCATGGGCATTGATTGTGGACTCAAGGAAAATGAAATCCTTGATAACTTCCAGCTTTTCTTTGTTTATCATGATATTTCTGATTGATTCAGTTGTGAGGATTTTTGTTTATGTTAGGTGTAATCCATACTGAAGGGTGCATTTTTCGTTCTTCATCAGTAGATGTTTTCGTTCTTTGCATTTATCAGGCAAGGTTGTGTTATCTGCATATCACAGTTTATACATTAGGTACATACTGTATAATTAGATCCAGGTCCTAAGGAAAGACCTGAGGTTCCTTCCTTAGTCTCATGTCTTTAACAGTTGTGACTTTATATTTTATGTACTATTTTTTCATAGGGCTGTATCCTTTTAGGAAGGACAATGGAATAGCAATAGGTATAAAATGAGGAAATCTCAATATGTGTGATAAGAAACCTTTCTTTACAGTTATATTTTTGTACATGTGGTAATGGTGTGCTGTGGAGTCAGTTCCGAATCATACTAACCCTGTATAGGGTTCCTAAGGCTGTAAATCTCTATGGGAGCAGAAGCCTTTTTCCCATGGAGTGGGTGACTGGTAATTTCCTACTGCTGACCTTGAGGTTAGCAGCCTGACTCATATTATTATCGTTGTTGGATGCCTTTGAGTTGATTTGACTCTTGGCAACCCACTGTGTCAGTAGAACTTTGGTGTCTTTTGGTTTTTAAGGCTGTGGCTTTTCAGGATGTATATTGCCAGGCCTATATGCAAAGGCACCTCTTGGTGGGTTCAAACTGCTAAGTCAACTGCTTAGCCATTTGTGCCTCACAGAAACTCCCTCTTAATTAAACAAAGATTTTTTTGAAAAAGGAAAAGCTAAGAGTGAGTTGGATTTGGATACAAACACCTTCAGGGAACCTAGCAGGCCTTGCGAAGCGACTGGAGACTTAGAAGAGCTATTATTTTTGTATCAGGGGATTTTAAAATACAGTGTAGTTCATTGGTTGCCTATATTCAGGGATAAAGGTTGCAAAGGGACATGGTGAATCTTTTTCTGGTCTGGTGGGAGTGTTCTATTTCTTGACTGGAGTGGTGGTTACACAGATGTATACATTGGTCAAAAGTCATGAAACTGTCTTGTATGCATTTTATTGTGTGTGAACTGTGCCTCAAAGTTGATAATTTGTTTTTAAGTGTCAAAAAAGAAGAAGAAGAAAACAAAAATCTCTTGGCATAAAATACTACTATCTGTGGGTTTTGTTTTTAATGTTACTCTTGATCTCTGCAATCATTTAAAAGTAAGACTTAGACTTTTAAAAGTTTTTTCTTTGCAGCTGGTTGGTAGCCATCTTTGAACAATGACTAACCTTGAAATTACTGTTATTTAGAAAAAAAATAGTTTAAGCACTATATTTTAAATTTGCAACTTGATTTAGAGAATTAATCGTTTCTTTTTAACTGCTTGTTTATTTTTTAAAAAACAAAAGTATCTTTGTTTTTAATTTTCAGAAATGGTTTTGTTCCCAGGAATATTGAAACCGAAGTCCTTCCTCTCATTTCTTCTGTGTTCCCAAGAACTATTTTTCCAACAAGTACCATATCTTTAGAAAATTCTGGTAAAGCTTGTTATATGTTCTTCAAGTTGTTATTTATTAGTAGTATTCTTTCAATCTTATGAAAAGTTAAGTGTGAAGCTATAAAATAGGGTATGATAATCCTAGATATTTCTATAAATATTTAGACTGTGATTTGATTTTAAAATCCTTCCAACTAGAAACTTCCATTTACTTTAAGACATTACAACTTCAGGATTTCAACGAACTCTTAATTTGAAGTCCCCCTTCTATTTAGGGCTTCAGAATCCAAACCATAAAAATTTAAAAGGTGACATTCTCTGTTTATTTTTTATGAATAAATAACTTAAGTTTTTGTCTGTATATAGATAACTTATCCATTTTTTCTTGTCTTTTGCCTAGATGGTCCCAGTTCATAAAGCAAATGGTGGTTACCAGATCAAGCATATTTTCCTTTTTTGTCTAAAATTGCACACATGAATCCAAATCTGATGATTACTCATTTTCAGTAGCTTTAAAAGTAGCTAATAAACACTTCATATTACTCAAATGTTAGTTACTATGCACTTATTCATAATCTGTTTGGTCCACCAGTATATCTTGTTTCAATTTATTACAAATGTCTGTTACACATTAAAATTAGCTGAAGTCAAGCTATTTCATTTATTGAAGCACATATTTACTATATTTATTTAAATATTACTAGGTACTTCTTGCAAGGGATATGCATTAGCACATACTCAAGAGGGAGAGGAGAAGAAGCAAACTTCTGGCACCTCAAATACCAGAGGATCAAGACGAAAACCTGCGACAACAACTCCTACAAGGAGATCTACACGTAATATGAGAACTGAAACAGTCAGTCAGTCTCAGAAGTCCCCAGTATCAAATAATTCTGGATGTGATGCCCCAGATGGCAGTAATCCATCTGTAAGTGTTTCTTCTACAGCTGAGTCAGAAAAGCAAACAAGACAGGCTCCAAAACGGAAATCTATGAGAAGAGGACGAAAACCACCTTTACTGAAAAAGAAATTACGGAGCTCGGTACCTCGTCCTGAAAAATCATCTTCGAGTGATTCAGTAGATGAAGAAACAGCAGAATCTGATGCACCACCGGTGTTAGAGAAAGAGCACCAGTCAGATATAGAAAGTAGTAACACTTTTACTGTGCAGACAGATGAAGAAAACAAGTCTGCTAATAGCTTGAGAAGTTGCAGTGAGCATATAGATACAAGTGTGGAACACATTGAGAACCATGACACAGAGGAAACTGTGAAGGCTTCATCTTCTGAGTCTCATACCCAAGATCCTCCTGTGCTAATTGGAGAGGAGGAAGAAATACAAAAAGTTGAGAATACAGATATAGAGGCTAATGTTTTGTGTGTTGAAAGTGACATTTCTAAAACTATTTCTGAGAAAGAAGATGATTCGTTAGCAAATCAAGACCAAATATCAAAGCTTTTAGAACCAGAGGTTAAAACAGAAGATGACACAGACCATCTTCCAGATGATCTTCAGTGTCTGGGATCTGAAACTGAAATACATCAACCTGTGTCTAGCCCTGTAGCTGAGTTACTTGAGAACACAGAGTCAGTGGCCAATGAAAATGATAAAACAGTAGAGAGATCCACAGTAGAAATTGATCATGAAGATTCTACAGTACAAATAGAACAGAATTTAGAGAGTCCCAAGTTAGAGTCTTCTGAGGGTGAAAAGATACCAGCAGTGGACAAAGAACTCATTGAAAGCACAGAGGTTCAGTTGCTTCAACATGATGGACCTGAAGATGCAGAAATAGTTGTAAAGTGTGATAGTTCAGGGTCTGAAATTTTAAATAGTACTCAAGACTCTGAAAATAATTTAATAAAAAATGATCCTGACAATACAAAATTAGAGAAATGTTTAGAAGAAAAGACTGACTGTCTAGATGAACACCTCATACCTACAGATTTGCCTAATACACAGCCTGAAGAGATTCAGAAGCATTTTGGTGAGGACAATAATGAAATGATACCTATGGAGTGTGATTCGTTTTGTAGTGACCAGAATGAATCTGAAATTGAACCTTCTGTTAATACTGATTCAAAGAAATCAAATGAAAATTCTGTAGAGCAGAGTTCTGAAAATAATATACTACCTTCTGATCCTGCAGATGAAAAGGTTGAAACTGTATCTCAACCATCTGAAAGCTCAGTAGAAACAATGGATAAAGCCAAAAAGCCTCGTACTCGAAGATCTAGATTTCATTCCCCGTCTACAACTTGGTCTCCCAACAGAGACACTGCACGAGAAAAAAAACGGTCTCAGTCTCCATCTCCAAAGAAAGAAACTGCAAAAGAAAGCAGGAAGTCTCGATCACCATCTCCTAGGAAGGAACCTGCACGTGGACGAAGGAAATCTCGATCTCAGTCACCTAAAAAGGATATTGCAAGAGAAAGGAGGCCATCTCAGTCTCCAAAAAGAGACAGTACTAGGGAGGGCAAAAGATCCGAATCACTCTCCCCAAAAAGAGACACGTCAAGAGAGAACAGAAGATCTCAGTCAAGAGTGAAAGATTCCTCTCCAAGAGAAAACTCCAGGTCCCGAAGTAGAGAAAGAGAAAGTGATAGAGATGGACAGAGGAGAGATCGAGAAGGGAGAACCAGAAGGTGGGCTAGGTCCAGATCTCGTTCTAGGTCACCTTCAAGATCTAGAACAAAAAGCAAGAATTCATCATTTGGTAGAAATGAAAGAGACAGTTATTCTCCTCGGTGGAAGGAAAGATGGACAAATGATACTTGGAGGTGTCCACGAGGAAATGATCGGTATAGAAAGAGTGACCCAGAGAAACAGAATGAAAATACCAGGAAAGAGAAAAATGGCACCAATCCTGATGCTGATGATCTGAATTCTGACAAACGCAGAAATGACTGTCCCAGTTGGGTAACAGAAAAAATTAACTCAGGGCCTGATCCAAGGACCAGAAATCCAGAAAAGTTAAAAGACACTCACTGGGAAGAAACTAGAAATGAAAATACAGGGAATTCTTGGAATAAACACTTTGGTTCAGGCTGGATGTCTGCCCGTGGGAGAGGTAACCGTGGCAGAGGCACTTACCGAGGAGGTTTTGCCTACACAGATCAGAATGAAAACCGGTGGCAAAACCGAAAACCCCTGTCAGGAAATTCAAATAGTTCAGGGAACGATTCCTTTAAATTTGTGGAACAGCAGCCCTATAAGCGAAAAAATGAGCAAGAGTTCTCATTTGATTCGCCAGCAGATAGATCAGGGTGGACATCTGCATCTAGTTGGGCTGTGAGAAAGACTCTCCCAGCAGATGTACAGAACTATTACTCACGAAGAGGCAGGACTTCTTCAGGTCCACAGTCTGGATGGACGAGACAAGAAGAAGAAACAGCTGACCAGGGTAACATTCTCTATTTACTGATGCTTTTTAATCTGAAGGAAGACTTTAAACCTAATGTCCTATTACTGTGAATTGAAATGATCACTGTTAATAATGGTTCTGAATTTTAAGTATATTTGTTAACACTAACAGAGTCTATAGGATGTTCCTATGCAGAATTTAATCTCTATTTCATATGTGTGCACTTGAGAAATTTTTTAATCATTGTTCTTAGACAAATATTTCATTCTTTTTATTTATCTTTCCTTGAATTTTAAATAATTTGAAAATAAAAAACCTATTAACTTCTAGTTTAGTAGCTTAAGTTTTAGGATTATTTCTTTAGTCAATTAGTTTCTTGAGCTACTGATTCTTTGCTAATGTTGACAGATATTATGTTAAGCTATTTATTAAAAAATCATTTTCATTGACCATTTCCTTTTAGAAATGGTCACTTTTAGAAAATCTGTCCATATTATTTAGAAATAGGTTATGCTACATAATTAGAGATTAGGGTTTTGATTTACCAAGTCTATTATTCTATACTTAATTCTACTATGACCAGCAGTTCTTTGCATCTCTAAAGAATTTTTTAACATGGTTTTTTTTTTCACAAGCCTTTTTAAATTTTATTTTTATTTGTTGATAGATTCGAACCTAAAAGACCAAACCAACCAACAAGGGGATAGTTCTCAGCTACCTATAAATATGATGCAACCACAGGTGAATGTAATGCAGCAACAGATGAATGCACACCAGCCCATGACTATCTTCCCATATCCAGTGGGCGTTCACGCTCCTTTGATGAACATCCAACGCAACCCATATAATGTGCATCCTCAGCTGCCCTTGCATCTCCATACAGGAATGCCTATTATGCAGGTAGCTGCTCCTACCAGTGGATCTCAGGGACTGCCACCACCACCTCCCCCTCCCCCACCATCCCAACAAGTCAACTACATTGCTGCACAGCCAGATGGAAAGCAATTACAGGTATGGTTTTAGCAACAGAAGTTTAATCAGCATTGTAAAAATGTAGCTATTGGTAACTCTTAAGCTTCCTGGTATCAATTGTTTATTTGATTAGGTTTATGGTAAACTTTATTCCCCCTCTTTCATATAATATTCACAAACCTTGTGTTGTTTATAGCTTTAAAAACATAAAAACCAAGCCCGCTGTTATATAGTCAATTCTGACTCATAGCGGAGACTGTAATCTTTATGGAAGTAGACTGACTGCCTCATTTTTTTTCCTGAAGAGCAGCTGGTAGATTTGAACTACTGAACTTTCGGTTTGCAGCCTAATGCTTAACCTACTGTGATAACAGGGCTACCTTTGCTTAGATACCTTTTGGAAATGCTAGAATCCTGACAGCACAATATAGTGGAAAGAACAGAATTTGATATCTTACATCTTTTTCTGCTACTAACTTACTGATAGCCACTTCACTACCTGGTTTTTTCCCATCTTTAAATAAAATCAAAGGAGCTCTGATAGCATAGTGGTTACGAATCAGGCTGCTAACGTCAGGGTCAGTAGTTCAAAACTACCAGCTGTTCCGCAGTAGGAAGGTGAGGCTTTCTGATCCCGTAAAGATTCACAGCCTCGGAAACCCTGTACAGGGTCGCTATGAGTCAGAACCGACTCCATGGCACATAACAACAAAGATTTACAGCCTCAGAAACCCTGTACAGAGTCGCTAAGAGTCGGAACCGACTCCACGGCACATAACCACCACACCACCACTGCCATTGAGTCAGTAGGAGCCCTTATTTTGATTAATATGTATAAACAACCTTGAAGGACAGATAGCATTTTTCAAAAATTTCTAGTCTTCTACATCTTTGTTTTTAGTGTTGCTGTAAGAATTTCACAGTATACATACATGTCATAATTTCAAAGTCATGTTGACATATTTGGATAGGGCTCTATTTAAGAATGCCACTTATTTTTCTTCAGATGTAAATTTATACCTAAAAGGCTTATTCTTTTTTAGGTATAAATGACCTGAAAATACGCATTTCTCTTCAGTTTGAATCATTTTGTGTTTTTTAATGTTATTTCTAATACATGACTGTAACATTTGTTTGAAGTGCAACTAATTCATTAATTGATAACTCTTTAAAACAGGGTATTCCTAGTGCTTCTCATGTAAGTAATAACATGAGTGCGCCTGTCTTGCCTGCTCCGACAGCAGCCCCAGGAAACATGGGAACAATTCAGGGACCAAGTTCTGGTAATACTTCGTCATCAAGTCACAGCAAAGCCTCTAATGCTGCTGTAAAATTGGCAGAAAGCAAAGTAAGTGTTACAGTGGAAGCCAGCGCAGATAGCTCGAAGACAGACAAGGCAAGTTCAAGGTTGAGAGCAACCTACATAATTCTGTATATAATAGAAACAAAGATTAAGTAATATCAGCTTTCTGTTTTAAGTGCTGAAGGGAATTTATTCATATTCTTAAATTCCAGTATTTGAAATTTCTCATCAAACTATGTTGATGCCCAGTGATAACTGGGTAATATTTCATCATTGTTTTTTAAATGATTAGTTTGTTAATAATTTTTGAATTTGTCACTAATGTTTGAAGAGTTTCTTGGAATAATGTAAATGTGCAGTGTTTTTAGATTTTTTTTTTTTTTTTTTGAGTATGTGATTGGTAACTAACAATTCTGTATTTTTCTCTTACCAGAAATTGCAAATTCAAGAAAAAGCAGCCCAGGAAGTAAAATTAGCCATTAAACCATTCTACCAAAATAAAGATATTACCAAGGAAGAATATAAAGAGATTGTACGAAAAGCAGTAGATAAAGTAAGTTAACAGCTTTAGTAGCATTATATATACATACTATTTTGAATCACCTGTAATTTAATATAGGAAATACTTAAGTCTCATTAAAATAATAATAAAAGCTGGCTCCCACTAATTCTTCTTGCTTTTTTTGCCATTTAAAAAAGTTCACATGTACTCTAAACATTAGAAATAAATGTGGTCATCTCTCTGAGTTGATTTTTCACAGAGCTCTCCACTTTGCTTTTATTTCTCTAACCCTGATAAAAATTTCACCCCATCTTCCCCAACCCCTTTTTTCCTTCAGGTTTGTCATAGTAAGAGTGGAGAAGTAAATTCTACTAAAGTAGCAAATTTGGTAAAAGCCTATGTAGACAAATACAAATACTCACGTAAGGGGAACCAAAAGAAAACCCTGGAGGAGCCTGTGTCTGCTGAGAAACACATAGGCTGAAACACGCAAGGGCCATGAAGAATGTTGTCAAGATCTCTGCAAAGTGCAATTTCAACATGGACCCTAACCAACTGAAAATCATACACGATTGTGATTGAAATGCGGTTTTGATAAAATTATTTTTTTTAATGTAGGATATAATGTTTTGTTCTAAATACATAGAGTTCTGCAGTGCAACTTCTATATCCTTTTTCCCACGAATAAATGCAAGGGAAAATAAAGATTTAAAGAAACGTGCATTTTTACAATGTCTGTGTTATAGTGTGGATACTGGAAGATGTATAGCTTTTTGATTTGATCAATGAGGTGCATCAATTAGAAGTGCACACTGGTTTTGGAAGATATATATATAAATATATATATATATATTACATATATTCTGTCAGGTTAAAAAATAAAGTATAATCGTTATGATTTTTCCCTCTAATTATAGAAAGTTAAATAATGTATTACCATGAAAAATATTTCTAGTATTAACAGAACACCCAGTTGCAGGGCTCCTAATGTGTATTTTTAAAGAAGCACACATCTGAGTAAAATTTCTTAGATAGAAGCATTAATCACATGAGTAAGATTTTAGTGTTGAACACTCTGAGACACTCTTCACTCACTGTATCACCAAATAAAGGTTAGGCTGCTTGGGTTTCTTTTGTGTCTTTTATTTTTCTAATTGAGATGAAGCAGTTTGATTTGCTAGATTGTAATTTTAGCAGCCTAGTTTTTGTTGGATTTTAAAAGACTGATTTGGGGAAAGTGGCGTTGTTAAAATTATATTCTCTTATAATACCTTGTACTGATCAGAGATCATAAATTGTGCCATCAAGAGAGTTGCTGTTAAGTGGAGACCCCTCCCTTTCTTGAGACTAAGGTAGAGATATGATACCCACTGCACTAGCTTTCATGGTATTCCTCATCTTTCTAATCATGAATGAAAATTTTTTCACCCTTGAAAAACCCCAAATGTTTTACAATGAGTTAAGTATTGACTTGATGACCATATAGCAGCCATTAAGCATGTTGCAAATTTTTAGACATGAAACCTGTTTTGGGAAAAGAAAGGAATTTAATATCGGAGTCTTGGTTAGTCTTTCAGAGACTAGTGTTTGGTGATTTTTTAAGTGCTTGAATGTGCTAATTTTTATAAAAGGTAAGTTTAAAATTTTTATAGAGATTATTTTAATTGGCATCTTGGAAAAAAAAAAAAATGGGTTCTCTCTGATACTACCGTCTTTCATTCCAGTAAATTGAATAGAAACCAAATAACTAGAAAGATGTTCAGGTCAGATGTAATGGCTCAGAGATATTCCTCAGTGAAACAGAGACCTTTTTATTAGATAACTCGTGACAGCAATACTCTATAGGACTGTCCTTTTCTGAAGTAAAGATTAATCTGTTTTTCGGTCTTACGTGCATAATATTTTCCTGGTGCTAGCTTTGATAGGTAAAATATTTTGAAATGTTGGCCCCATTAATATTGGTCTTGTTCATAATCTCTGTTAGGTTATGAGTATAATCCTTAAGTGTTAGAGCGATTTCCATGCAGCTTTTGATCATCATACTACATTTTGGGGTAGTTGTAACATGGTTTAATCTACTGATTTATATGATTTTTGAAAAGTTTGTGCTTAGATTATGATGGGAAAAGAAGTGTGAAATATATTTCTTCTAATAAAATATTAAAGCAATGTTTAATTATCAAACGCCACCACTTCAGTTGTTTCAGTTTTGAACTCTAGAAGCAATTTGTAAATTTCACATCTGTTTTGGATTAAACATTGATTTCACACTTTGTAAAATTTGTAGAAAATTACTCTGCTTAAATTGATTAATCCTAGGGGCCCATACTTTTCCTGTATTTTCTTTCAGTGATGTTTTAAATTTTGCTTTATACTGTTTGTTTAACTTTTGCAAAAAAAATTAAAATTGCTGATGTGGTCAAGATTAAAGTCTTACTATCTTTGGTAGCTATCCCAGGAGTTGCTTCTACCATTCTTGAAAATAACAAGCATGTGTTCTGTATCTGATTGGAACACTACTTAGACTGCATTTAAAATACTGAAAAAAGAAGGTAACTGGCTTAGAATTCGAACAATAAACTTTTTTTTTAACCCTTTCATGACCTGTGGAATTTATTGCGCTCTACATTTCCCACCTCTGGGATGTAGTTGTTTTTGTTATGTGCTGTGGACTCGGTTCCGACTCATAGCAACCCTGTACAGGGTTTCCGAGGCTTGTAAATCTTTACAGGAGCAGAAAGCCTCATATTTCTCCCGCTGAACAACTGGTAGTCGAACTGCTGACCCTGAGGTAGCAGTCTGATTCATGACCCAATTCGTAACCACTACGTTCAGAGCTCCTTCTGGGATATAGTAGGAAGCTGTTTATCCCAGCTTGAGTGTGGGCTGCTATTTGATGGGGCCTGTGTAAAATGCATGTATATGAAAAAATAGGCCTCATCCCACCAATCCCAGCACCAGAAACCCCTTTAGGCATATATATCCCACTCATTGACTCAAAACCCATATTACCTTACAGCAGAAAATAGTTTGGTCTTGAAAGAGTTAAATTTTTTAAGAATGTATCTGGAAATGCATGTTTTGTTAACAAAATATATTGCTAAAATGTTCCCCATCATTTTTCTGTTATTTCAAAAATCTTACATTAATTTTGCATGTGTACAAACTTAAATCACAAACATTTTGTGGGTTACAGATTCCTTTATGTATGAAGAGTCGGTGTTAACTTGACCTTTGAAGCCTTGATCCTTTTAACCTACCAGTCATATTGACTAATAATTTTAGCTATAGCAATGCCTAGAATTTTGAGACTATTAAGTAGTTACCCATTATTTTACTACCACCAAGAGTTTTGTTTTTCTTTTTCCCTGATAATTATTATATTCTCTGCATTGTGTGTCTTTAAATGCCCACAATGTGTACTACGTGAATGTTCCATCCAAAAGATGTCGCTTCAAAAGCACAGTGGTTTCCCCAGGGCCCATGAGACTTTGTCTGTGGAATGAGGATACAGTGCTGTCTACTGAATACTCAAATATGTAGTGTATAATATTTTCTAATAAATTATTTTGATAAAGTAGTGTCTCTAACATTGTTTACTGAGGTTCCTGAGAAATGATGGCTTTTAACAAACAGGCACAGAAGTATTTTTTTCCTTTTATACCGAAGCTCTCATTCTAAGTAAATAATAATTGTAGGAAATCAGAGAAACTGCAGTAAATAAAATTTGTAATGAAGGAAGAGACTAAAAGGTGGGGAGAGAAATCACCTGTAGTCATCACATTCAGGTAATTTAACGATCATCAATGTTACACTGTTTTGTAGCATAGCTTTTTTACTTAGTGATTGAGAATTTTCCATCTTAATAAAAATCATTTTTAATGGCTATATAGATCCTATTCCTCAAAATTTCTACTATTGGATAGTAGTGTTGTTAAGTGCAGTCAAATGGGTTCTGACTCCAAACAACCCTGTAAGTGTTTCTGATGAACAGCTGCTGAGTTTTAACTGCCGACCTTGGGGTTCAAACCGACCTTGCTCTTCCTTGTTTAACCTATAGTGTCACACCAGGACTGGATTGGATATTAGTTTCTACATTTTATTAAAATAAGATGGATTAAAAACTTATTTATACCTATATCTTGGTACCTATTTGAGATTTTTTTCCCTGGAATTAATTCCTAGAAGTAGAATTTCCTGGTCAGTTTTTATTACCCCATAAAATAGTTTTAATATAATTAAATATATTTATTATATGTTGTTAAATGCCATCAAGTTGGTTCTGATTCATAGTGATCCTACCCTCACTGAACAAAACTGCCGGGTCCTGCACCATCTTCACAATTGCTGTTAACACTTGAGCCCATTGTTGTTGCCACTGTGCCAATCCAGCTTGTTGGGGGGTCTTCTTTTTCACTGACCCTCCACTTTACCAAGCATGATGTCCTTCTCCAGGGACTGGTTCCACCGTATAACATTTTTGAGGTATGAGATGAAATCTCACCATCCTGGCTTGTGAAGAGCCTTCTGGCTGTACCTCTTTGAACACAGGTTTGTTTGTTCTTTTGGCAGTCCGTGGTACTTTCGGTATTCTCCAAAACCATAACTCAAATGCATCTTTCTCATTCACTGTCCCAGCTTTTCCACATGCATGTTAGGCTATTGAAAATACCATGACTTGGGTCAGACACACTTTAGTCCTCAGACTTCTTTGCTCTTGAGCACTTTTTAAGAGGTCTTGCGCAACAGATTCCTCATGCTGCATGTCATTTGGTTTGCGGCTTCCTTGAGTATTGATAATGGATCCAAGCAAAATGAAGTTTTTGACAACTTTAATCTTTTCTCCATTTGACACAATATTTCTTGGTGTTGATGTTGTTTACTGTTGATTCTGACACATAGCGACCCTCTGTAGGGTTTCCTAGGAGCTGCTGGTGATCTTGAACCACTGGCCTTTGTAGTTCAAACAGACTTTGCAGTCCAGCGCCTCAACCCACGGTGCCACACCAGGACTCTGTTTATTGGTCTAGTGGTAAGGATTTCTTTTTTCTTTACATTGAGGTGTACTACCCATACTAAAGATTGATATTTTCCCAGCACTCCCTCCTCTCCAAATGCACCCTGTAAAATTCACTCGTATTTAATACTATATAATCATTTCCTAAGCTAATTTTTCTATCTGGAAGAAAACACTAGAAAGACTGGTAATTCTATCTTTCTAAACTCTTCAATGCGTTTACAAAAATGGTTTCTCAAGGATTCAGGAATTCAGGTTTCATGGATGTAAGAGAGCATCAAAATGTACATTGAAAACTTCCATTCTCTTTTAGTTCTATTTTTCCACAAACTTTTTGAAGATGCTTTTATTGTAACATGAGTTACAATCTAAATACCTGCCCTACACCCTTCCATAACTGATGATATATTCCAATGTTGATATATACAAAAGTTACCAGTTGTGGAAGAAACATTAGTAAGTGTCCT